GAGATTCAATACTTGATGGTTTTCATTGATTTTTGTTCTTATGGTTGAGGAAAATCATTTTTTAATGATTGTGCAAAAAAGAATTATCGAAAATGATGAAAAAACAAGGCCAAACGGCCTGTTTGGTCGCTCGTTGTGGTCTGTTGGGCCACCTTTTTTTTAGCTTCCTCTTTTAATTTATTAATGTTGGGCCAAAGCTAGCAAATTACTTATTGGACTACATTTTAGGCTACATATTGTTGTAAGAAAAGAAGTTCATATTCTTTTTGGAGGCTTAATTTAAGTACTCAAGTTATATGATTTTGTTAATTTATCCAAGTTAATAAATTTCAGATTTAGTTAATTAGTTTATATTAACTAATTAATTTAATTTCTAAATTAGTTAATATGTTAAATTGAATCAGTATTTAATTAATATATTAATTAATTAATTAATTTATTTAAATATTAATATTAGTTAATTATTTATTTTCTAAGGAAAATGCTTATATAAATCAGTAAAATATTTGATGATTTAAGCGTCGTAATTTGAGTAAAGTAATCATTGTGACGTTTTAATTTAGAGAGATGAGATTATAAGATATTAAAATATTTTTTTTGGGATGCCATCGAGGTTTTAGATTTGGGGTTTGACTAAAGTTAGTCGGGGTTGACCAAGTTGACCAAGAGTTGACTTTTGGCACTTTTGATCCATGTGGATTATAATGATGGGTCAAATAGAGTTGTTTGATGCATATTAAGATGCTCGGATACAAAGTTTGCATTTAGGTTGGGTCAGAATGACAATAGTTGACTTTTGTTGACTTTTTGAGAAATTAAGACGTTAATTAGATGTTATGGTATGAAATGTGTAGGCATTTGGTCAAGAGCTATCGGTAATCAATCTATACGCAATCAGGTGAGTTTTTATGAGACTTACAATGGGATGCATACCTATGTATAAATTTATTTTTGAGCATTATATGATTTATATGGTAATGTGTACATATGCATGATGTTTCAGTTTACATACATGATATATTTTACATGTATGTTATTTTATGATCAGTTGTCTGCTATGTATTTATTTTGTTTTCAAATAATTATAACATGTTATTTTATATGAAAGTTTTCTGATCAGTTTTAGCGGATGAGCATTTGACTAAGTAAGTCACATGACAAGTGGCACAACCCCGTAATGAGTGTCTAGACAGGTGCATGTCGGACAACTCAGGGAATGTCAATGACTAAATGACTCATACCCTACAGACAATCTATGAGATCTCTTTTCTTTCAGTGTTGCATGTTTTTCAGAAAATGCATACTATTTGGTACAAAGTTTACAAGTTGATATGTATGATGTGAAATGATCTTTACTTATGCAAACCATAAACTTACTGAGCTTTATAAGCTGACTATAGTATGCATCTCAGGGACAGAAGGTTTCAGGTTGGACAAAGAAAAAGAAGGGCATACATAGAGACTTGTCTAGTCCATTTAAGTTCTATATTTAGGTGCAATCATCTATGATAGATAAATTTGTAAAGCAACTCGGTATGGGACGGACTGACATTAAGTTATATATTTATTCTTTTAAAATCTTCCGCTGTAAACGGTCTAAAGTTTTAATTTAGCCATTATTTTTGGAGTGCTTTTGGAGAATCTGTTTTAGATTACGTAATATTCCTCATGGTAAAAATATGGGCGTTACATGTTAGAGCATCGCATTTGTATTATGTGGGTGGCGTAGCTACCGAGATCAATACAGTCAATTATGTCTCTCCTAAAAGTTGGTATCTCGTGGGAAATACTATCGTAACAAGTGAAAAGTTCGAGAAATTTGTAGTCATTTTTATCAATCGAGATTATATTTTAGTCAAAGTTTATGTAAATACCTTATGCATTTATGTAAACTCGATTTTTAGATTAAAAAGATTACATAATTTGCATAAAAAATTTGCGTAATTTACGTACATAACTTTTTTTATTATTTTAAAATAGACTTTATGCAAATGTATAAGCTATTTATGTAAACTCCGATTAAAATGAGAATTTGGTTTTAGAAATGGCTGAAAAGTGAATTTGGTCAAAAACATTGGCTATTTTGATCAATTTTCTGGAAAAAAAAAGCCAGTAAAATTTTATTTTAACTGATTAAACCGTTAAACTTTTTTTAATGAATAATTTATTAAGTTTTTCTTTTTTAAATGATTGTATCTTAATATTTTTTGAATGTAATGAATGTTTTTTTTTCACAAAAAAAATCCTACTGATCATATGTTAGGAAAGTTTTAAAGTAAAAAACCTAGATCCTTTTTACCGTTCTTTAACCTTACGCCATTCAAAACCTTTATCGCACCATCATCGCCCATCGACGTCTTGAGGAGTTTGTCTCCATTATTTGTTTTTTATGAACATGAGATGAGCATTAAGCCAAAAGTAATTAGAAACCGGTGCGCTTTAATGAATGCGGGATGGGGATCTGCTGAATGGATGAAGGACCGGATCACACAATTCACGTAATATATTGTACATGTAATACATCTACAATATATGTCATGTTGCAAACTACACGTGCATGAACATTTTTACACAATATCCATTAAATATCTTATTGGAGCAGATGGAGATATATACTTGGAACATTGAGAACAGTTATAAGTGGAAACTAGTTGCAATTATAATTCGGTGTGTGTGAGTCAATCATCCTTACACTTGGAAAAAAGCACGAGTAACTTATCACTATTTAGTAGAGATCCACATGATACATACAACGTAAGAGATAACTGATTAATATATATATATATATATATATACTTTTTCATTGATTTATGCATTAAATCTGTTTTTCATGATGTTACATACCACGACATAAATGGGATTTTATCATGCAAAATGTACGTGTATTATGATCAAATGTCTGAAGTTTAAAATATAAGAAGAAGATTTAAGAACCGAAATATATTAGCTGACATTTTTAAGTTCTCCTTATACTCATACGTGAAGAGGGGACCAACGATGTTATGTACTTAAGTTGTTTCAACTTTATATTAATACTTTGATCTTATAATGATGTTTCATTATGTTTATATTGTAATTAACAGCCTAGAAAAATCAGTCTCACGAATCGTATTATTTTCATCTATCTTTTAACCAAAAAGGAAGTGCAACAAAAATTGCAAGAGTTGAGTATGATTTTACGATTGAATGAAATTGAAACCTGTAAATAAGGCTGGCAATGGGTAAGGGTAAATCCGTTATCCGTTATGTTTCAACTTGTTGATCAATAAAAGTATGGATAAAGAAAATTTATCCTTTTGCCCATTACCCATTTACCCGATATTGTGGTGGGTAGTGTATGGATAAACGGTTATTCGTTATCCATTTACCTGTTACCCGTTACTCGTTACAATATATATATATATATATATATATATATAGATTTATAATTTAATCTTCTATTTATATTAATCAAGCAAAAGAGTTCATGATAATTAAATTAAAAATAAAGATCCGATGGAGAAAATAAATACAACGAAAAATGTTGTCCTTCAATTTTTATAATGTTATTTTGAAATATTATATTATAAATATATTTAGAATAACTTTATCAATGTAATCAAGGTCGTCCATGGGGAGGGTGGGTCTGGCACGCCCACGGTCACAAGAATTTTAATGAGGGCCCGAAACATGTATTCATTAATTATATTGAAGAAGAAAATATGTAAAAAGGTCAATAGGTCTTTCATTTTATAGTAGTATTTATTGTAGGTTATTTATTTAGTACCAAAGTCTAAAACTACTTGCCTATAAAATCTTGATATATTTTCCATCATTCATCTTAACTGACCCTTTTGATTATTCCATTCGCTTAGATTCTATTTTTTGTATTGGAATACAACATATTTCTTGTTATTAACTAAAAAAGCTTCTATTTTTTTTAAAAAAAAATTACCAACCGTATGAAGAGTCTGACTTATATTTATATCTAGGATTCCATAAGTACTATTTTTTATACATTATTGACTTTTTATTATCTAATATTGAGTGGATGAATCTTATGTACGCTCCTATCTCTAAAACAAGAATAAGTTCTAGGAGATGTTTGGTTAGAGGTATTAAACAGTAATCAATGGAAGTGATAATAAAATATATTGTTTGGTTTTATATAATAAAATTGGTTCATTCTTTCAGAATGCCAAATTTTCATTCCAGATTAACCGGGGGAATGAAAAGTCACCCTCATTTTTATTATGTATCATTTCCATTCTACAACCTGAACAAAACAGCCCCTCAAGTTATAACTAATATGGACTTCGATTCTAAGATTAATTGATGATTTCCAAAAAGTTTATTTCAACCATAAAAGTTTAAATGGTGATGATAGACATTAACATGATCTGACATGAAAATCCAAGTGATTAATACTAATTTAGACATAGTGTTACTCCAAATAGTTAAATTATGTTAATCTATATATTTTTTGTTGGTGGAACAGGTTGACGATGCTACGTAAAAATGATACAGTAGCAAACATTAATTTAGAATTATTTATTGATTGATTTTACGTCTAGAAATACTCGAAAAAATGGTTTTATAAAAAATCGTACTTATCCAAGGCTCTTTTTAATATCTCCACCCGAACCGATAAAATGTCGAAAACAAGTCTAAATGTAACTAAAATAAATTGGACATAAACGAATGTTTTACTTACATGTTTGAGGTTTAATAATATATATATATGTATATATATATATGTATATATATATGTATATATATATATATATGTATATATATATATATATATGTATTAATCCCATAACGAGCATCTAGTTCGTGAATAGCATGGGGTGACCGCATTCGAGTAGATTTGTGTTCGTGCATGAATTACTCGTTGCACGTTAAATTTTGATATATATATATATATAATATATACTTAATTACATGCAAACAAAAAAGTTGTACGGCAGAGATGCAACCCAAAAAATTGACAGCACAGTTGGACAAAGACTTCTCAATGACTACTTTCTCCGTTGAATCAACCGCCCTTGAGCCGTGAAGCTCTGAAATCCGGCGTTATTGTTCCGCCGGACCCTATCCTTCGGCTGCGACGACGGCGGCGGTTCTTGCTCCTCCATATGCGGCGTTTCTGTATACACCCGCCATATCTTCACCGACCTATCTAAACTCCCACTATACAACGTCCACGGCCTTCCACCACCACCTTCACGGCGGTTCATCGCTCCCGGACGATCTCCATCCACCGCCAAACACTTCACCGGACCAGTGTGTCCATTCAAAACGTGCATGCGTATATGCTCTCCTCCGTCGTCTCTCCGCCACACACATATATTTGTGTCCGCCGAACCGCTGAACACCATCCTCCCCGCCGCCGCTAAGCACAGAACCGCCAGCTTGTGACATCTCAAAACCCTACCACCGGAAAATAACTTATCCCGTTCCCAAAAATGCAAAAGCCCATCGGATAAACCCGCGTAAACCACCGTCCCCGCCGGATTAACCACCAACGACGTCACGGCGGATTCCTGCTTCAGTAAAGTGTCCAAAAAGGCATGCTTCGTTCTTTTTCCCGGCATCTCCCTCCGCCACAGTTTAACCGTCCCATCCGCCGAACCGGAAAAAACCAAATCGTCAAATCCGGCGACCACCGCGTTAACAGCGTCGTCATGAGCGGAAATGGATTCCAAACACTTGAAATCTGATACTTTCCAAACTTTTACCGTCTTATCCCATGAACTTGAATACAATATCGAATGATCTTCGCTCAAACTAAGACTAGAAATCACATCGAAATGTTTGATCCAAATTGCACTGTGATTGTTCCTCACCTCCGTATAATTCTTCGGTCTTATCGATTTTTTCACGATCGACGTCAAATTTGGTAGAGTTCCGATCTTTTTATGAACGCTAGGGTTCTTATCTGACACCTTCCATGCCCTGATTTTCCCGTCGCGGTGGCCGGTAAATATCTTATCGTTTGCAATCACAATCGCTTTCACCAATCCGCTGTTCGATTTGAATCCAGAAAACTCCGTTTGATTCTTCCAAACACGAATGTTCTTGCTATCAGATCCGGTGTACAACAAATCTCCGATTGCCGCCAACGAATATATATTTCCTTCTTGACGAACAAGAGAAGCCATTAATCCGGTTCGATTCGAATAAAAATCCTTGTGATCGGGGATTTCTAAATTCCATTGGGAACTTGCCACCGGCGAGGTCTGTGTAGAGCTCATCATATTCGAATAGGAATCCATTAATGGCTCGTCGTCGTATGGAGATTCGTTATCGGAGGAGGACGGCGGAGGTGGTTGATGAGATTCCGGCATGTTGCTGATATGCACATGTAACTTTTCCACGGCGTCATTTGGATGATTCCGGCGATGATGATGATGATCGTCGTTTTTCAACAACATGCCGGATTTCTGCTTTGATACGCCATTGTTATTGCCATTATACAAATCCAATCCTCGCGATGAGTTTATCATAATTTCAAATTTGTTTCAAGATCGCTATAAATAAATTGATCATACGATCTTCACATAATTATGGCTTTTTTTTTTTTCGAGAACGAATTTATGTAAAAGAAAAGGAAAATTAAAACATTAACGAGAAACATCGATGAAAACTAATAGTTCGTTGTAAAGAACGGTGTTGTGATCGTTAGAATTACGTTTGAGAACATCGATAATTAGATTTTGCAAAAATATTGGAATTTTACGTGTTTTTAATATGATTTTGTGACGATTTTTATATTAGATATTTTAAATTCTTGATGATTTTTATATTGAAAAACATTTTATAAACAATTACAAGTCGGTAAATGATTATACTAATTAAAACCATAATGAACTGAAACATCTAAATCGTTACAGGGAAAAAAAACAAAAGCAATTAGCTGCGAGCAAAATGGGAGCACAGTTGTGGAAGTAGTGAAAATCTCATTTTTCTTAGGTTCGAATCCAAACGTTGTCAAAATCATTTTAGTCGTGGTGGTATCACTTGTGATGACTAAAGACCGTTAGTGAATGTCAGAGGATTAGTGGATGTGCGTAAGTTGGCCGGGATACCTATGAATCATGATTACCCGGGGGAAAAATGGGGACAAGGTAATGTGTGAACGTGAGGTTGTGGGGGAGCGATATAAATGTCGTGTTGTTAGGTATATCAATAGAATGATGCATCCTAGATGACGAAAAGTAGCCGAAACCATCGCTTGCTTGCACTTTGTCCCGAGTGGCACGTCAAATCTTGTGCGAATCAACAAATGACCACCTTCTAAAGCTACATATTCTAGGTGACCGATAGCGAAGTAGTACCATGAGGAAACGTGAAAAGAACCTATATTGAGGCGTGAAACAGAACATGAAACCGTGAGTTCTCAAGTAGTGAGAGGAACATGAGAATCTGACCACATGCCTATTAAATAACGAGTCTTGCTAACCAGATAAAAAATTCTACTTTTAGGGCCTTTCATGGTTCACTTACAGACTAAAGTGAGATCACTTTTCTGCTAGGTGTAATAATTTCTTTGTTTTAATAAAGCTTGTCAACGGTGCCACCCACTTCCAGAAAACTATTTACATAAAATGGAAGCATACCATTTTAGAAAAACTTTTGCTGGTAACAATGACTGAAATATGAGAACAGATAACCATAAGAACATGGTGTGGGGGTGTCGGACTATTGTGAACCCTTACTCATGTGGCTATTGCAGTCCATAATCCTCGATGCTAGACTACTGATTGAAATAATGACTATTGCATTTCTGTTATGACGATTCACCCGTTGTTGGCACCACCTATTACTAGTCCTTGACTATTGATAACTCTCATTTTGTTAGAGTTATTTGTTGTTCTATACCCTTATTTTATTGTATCTTTGGTACCCATTTTGCTCATATTCTATATTTTTAGTCCAAAATATGTTAAGAGGTGATGAAAGGTTAAGAATTTAATTATTGTCTAAAAAAACTCTTTATTGTTGGTAAATTTGGCATCTAGTTGGATTTGAACAAAATTATGATATTCATATTATTGGGTATTATTGAGATTTAATGCTAAGTTCAAATCTAATTACTTGGTTGCATGGAAGATTGAAC